TTTTCTTAATCAAATTTTAATCAACTTAATAATACCTTAACATTTTTGTGAGAAGGCTAAAAGTCAATCAATCTCATTCAAACTATTTTTGCTACTTTGGCCTTTTGCTTTAAAAAATTTTCTCAAAAGATTAGACTCTTGTCAATCCTTGTAGTGACGCAAGCTACTATACTTCTACGATATATAGTGAAGTGATATATTCTCCTCTTGGGTGTTGAGTAAGGCTTTGTTGATTTTAAAATCCAAGTTATATCCTCCACTTTGAGATGACGTAAATTCTCCTTTCTCATAATCGTGGGTAGGAAGTATGTTTTCCACTCGGATAAGACGATGATGTCTTGTCTCTTAAAATTAACCAACACACTTGTGTTTTAAAATTTTAAAGGTGAACTACGAGTACCCTGATCCCCTATTGCACGGAAGGTGGTACGTAGACACTAAAGGTTCTTAACCGCGGAGGGTGCAAAAGATATAAAAAAGACTTCTTTTCTCATCTCCACCATCTATTTTTTTATATGCAACATTTTATAGCCAAAATACATAAATTTTCAAAGAGGTTCATGCGGAGTACCGTAGATGTTTAGGGGGATAATACCTTCCCTTTGTATAACTAACCCCCGAACTTAGATTCTTTCCCCATCTTTTGGGTTATTCGCTCTTTTCCCATTCCTTTGGAAATAATAAAGCGCAGTGGCAATTTTTATTTTGATTTGTGCGAGTCGAATCAATCCAATGACTTAGTCTCAATATTTCTACCGCTACACTTGGCATATGTCGATACGCCACTGAGCCAAAAACTCTCAAGTGACTCATGTTTGGTTTGAATCCGGACCAAGCTTCTTTTTGTGTGATCTTTTCCAGCTTCTTGGTTGGACACCTATTCAAAAAATACACAGTTGTGGATACTACTTCTCCCCATAATTATTTTCAATGTTCTTCCTTTTTAACATGCTTCTTACTATTTTCATAATTGATCAATTCTTATTTTTGGCAACACCATTTTTTGTGGTGTATAAGTGGTACTACTTCATGTACAATGCCCTCCTGATCATTAAATCTCCCAATGTCATTTGAGACATCTCCACCCCCACCATCCATTTATAGAACTTTGAGTTTGTGACTGCTTTGCCTTTCAACCATGGACTTGAACTTCTTAAACACTTCAAGTACCTCATCCTTTCTCTTGATTAGGTACGCCCATAATTTTCTTCTATTATCATTAATGAATGTGACAAAATATTTATTACCACCAATGGAATCAACTTTCATCAAGCCACACACATCCAAATAGACCACCTCACAGTGACAATTAGTTCTACAACCTGCATCATCGTTGAACTTTTCCCTTATGTTGCTTCACTTCCACACATTTTTCAGAAATTTCAGCCGGTATGTTGATCAATGGCAGCCACGTCACCATTTTGTTCTTTTACAATGCATTGAGATCCCGAAAATTAAGATTCCCAAGCCTATAGTGACATATCCACTATTCTTGACTAGCCACTATATCAAGAAACCTATGCTCCATAACCTTCAACTCAACTTTGAAAGTTCTATTTAGAGCCATAGGAGACTTTAGGACCAAAGCTCTATTTGCATCCATAACGTGTAATGTCTTGTTCTCCATATGAATCTTGTAATCCCTCTCAATCAATTGGCCAATACTTAAAATACTACACTTAATTCCGGAAATATAAAACATATTCTTTATCAAAGGATATCTACCAACCCTTATCTCAATCAATAGGTCACTGATCCCATATGCCACTAGAGTGTTATTATTTATGAACTTCACCTTGTTCTTCATGGCACGATTAATTGTAACAAACCAATATTTCCTTCCTGTTATATGCGTTGAACATCTAGATTCCAAATACCATTGATATTTACATTATACTTCCTCTTTCATAGTCATCATTATGTTTTCTTTTGCATGTAACCAGTTACAACATATACGTAACAGGTTACATCCTTGTCTACCAGTCTGCTATAACGCGTGACAGTTGTTCGAAACTCTATTACTTTTGCATTCTCCTTTAGTGATCATCACCAAGAATGTGTTATCATCATAAAAGTCTTGTCTATAAACTCTAGATTCATAATTTGAGGTTCTTTATTATCGACATTACACTATTTTACAAAATGGTCAAGCATTTGGCAATTATAGCACTACACACTTGACATTTTCGTGACTTGGGTAGCAGTGATGTGTTGCTAGATACCACTCACTATTTATTATGTTAAATGTGTAATTTAATATAATTTCCAACATCGCGAAAACCTACAGAGTCACATACATAAGGACAAGTTGATGAGAGATAAAGTAAATAAGTAACACTGTAAGGTACGATGCACTTAAGATAATTGTAGAACACCGTAAAGTACGATACACTTAAGTGGAATACGAAATATGGTAAGGTACCAGGCGCTTAAGTGATATAAGGTACATCATAAGGTATGATGTATGTATACTTAATTGGGCTTTTAGCTTGCAGCATTAATTGGGATTTTATCTTGCAGCCCATACAAGTGGTTCTATAAATAGAACCCTTATGCTGAAGCATTTTCACTTGATGAAAATTCGGTCTTGAAACCCTAGTCATATTTTCTCTCACTCTCTCACTCAAAGTTTTTGTTCGTAAGCAGCTAGCACTGTGACCAGAAGCGATTTATTCGTGTGGACTGAGTAGAGGCGTAGTTCTTCATCAACGCTCGTGATCACAAAATCAAAGGTCTGAATTGCCACAAGAGGTAATAGTTTCTATCACTGGCCATGCTCATTCGTAAGGATAACTAAAGGAAAATTTTAATTTTCGCTGCATTTTAAATCGCGATTTTCCTTCAATCTTATCATGTGCTTTAAGAGAGCTTTGTAGCTCCTCTTTTCTCATCGTCGCAAAATGATTTGATTCTTAAATCTCTACGACTATGTTATTGAATCTTGTCATCAAATAACACAAGATTTTCGTCACAACATACACTATGTAATCGTTTCTCCATACTCCATTACTTGGTTCATCAACCGAGTAATTATCGTTGTAAAATCATTGGTAGTATCCTTCTCTTTTATTTGAATCAACTCAAGATATATTTTAGAGTTTGTAACCTCAAAACCTTCACCTTATTAGCTCCTACATATGCATGCTCAAGAATCTCCCACGCTTGACTGGAAGATTCATAATCACCAACTTTCTTAAAGTTGTTTGTATCAAGACATTGATGGACTAAGAAATGCCCTTTGTAATCTTTCTTTTTTTCTTACTTATGTGATGCTCTTTGCGGTGGATTAAAACCTTCAACAAGAGGATATACATCGTTCTTGATCACATCAAGAATATCTTAGTAGCCAAATAATACCTCATTTTATTGCACTATTTTTTGTAATTCTTCGCATCAAGAATAGGTAAATTAACATGCATTTTTTCATTGAAAACATATATCATTTTCGCATACTAGGTGTTTAATGGATTGAGCTAGGCTCTAATACCAAATGTTGGAACTTTGGAACCACAAGGTTTGTCAATAATTAAGTGTAGATAGGGAGAGAGTGGGAGAATAAGAGAGAGTAATTGAGGGTTAAAATTAGCACTATTCATTAATGGCATACCATAAGGTATTTATACAAAGTACATTACTTGAGATGTAATTGACAAAATAGAAAAACTGAAAACTAACAGTTGTAATCGATTAGATCAAATATGTAACCAATTACATAACGATTATGCCTAAATCCTATTTCAGTTGTAACAGGTTACAAAACGATTATGTTTGATTATGCCAAAAATGTGTAACCAATTACTGCCCCGCAGTAACCGGTTACAGGAACTTGAATTATCCTTTTCTCTTAACAATTGGTATGTTGTAGTTTTAAATCAGAAACACATTTAGCTTTTGTGAGTGTTTAAACATTACATTTATAATGAGTTGTTGGAATGCTATATTTGAAAGAGAAGTGACTTATATATTCAATACCTTACATTTTTAATAGAGATGTGGCATCTACCTCTCTTATGATCATGGAACATTGAGTATTAATTATTTCTCTCTTACCCAGATTCTCCAACATATACATCCTTATATTATATTTTAAGAAATAATTTTTATAAAAATAACTTTTAAAATCATATAAGTTATTTTTAATTCATCTAAATAGACTAATTTTCACACTCAATTTTTTTATGATACATGATTTATATTTCACTATGTAATAATAATAAGGTTTATATAGGTATATAAAGCAAACGACCACAAAGTTGTATCGCACCCCCTTTTTGAATGACAAAATTAATTCTTTTAAAAACTACATTTATTAACCTAGGAGATACAACATTATTATGCATAAGCCTTTGATATCTCTAAAAGAGATTCACTGTTTTTGGTGATAGAAAACCAAAAGTGTCAAAGGAAAATGGTATAGAAGCATGTCGATTGTTGGAACATGATTTCTCATGTTTGACCCCTTTGCTTGAAGCAGCTTTGAGGTATACATGTCCCCCAATAAAAACTCAAGTCCTCAGTTCCATCAATGGAGAAATCCTAGTCAAGTCCGTACATGCATGTTTTTTCCTACTCACTCGTACACCTGAATATAGGTTAGCCTAAGAATCGATCTTCCTTTATGTGGGTAACTCAAAAAATTCACAGGCGCTTCTTTCTTCACTGACACTTCAGCCCTCCAAAATATATCAGATATGACATCCCTAAAAAGGTTATGTTGACACTTGAAGTCTGAAAGTTCCTTACAATGATTCGCATGTTCCCCGAATATATCCAAACACATCTTGAGACAAACAGGGAAAACCTCATCAATATGAAATTAGGGAATCATAAGGTAGTATATCAGGATAGTACGATACTCCACCAATAACATATATTGGACTAACTCATCAATATGAATAGTAAGGAAAAAGTCTTGAGCATGTACGGCTTGCAAACAACCAAAAACTACTTTTTGTCTTGTGGTCATGTCAAACTTTACATCATTGTCCTGAACATTTTTACTAAAAAAAGGAACTTGCCAAAACATGTGCTTTAGGAGGGATGATGACTTTCCTAGTAAAATTGGCAAGGTCAAAATCTGGAATCGCAACACTAAGACCATCCAAAGCTCTGTTGAAATATACCCCAATGTCTCTCAATATGTGATCTTGTAACAACCAAGATTGGGCCCCAAAAGCCATAAAAGCGTATGAGACTCTCTCTTATCGAGTACATACCCAATCCATAAACTTTAATGGGTAAAGAAACCATTATCCATTGAAGTTCCTCGAAGAAAGGACCTCCACTAACCACAACATCTTCAATCGCCCTTCGCAACTCTTTATCAAACTAAATATTTTCTTCTTTCATATGATTAGGTTGGTATATTCTTAGGTTAAAAATAATTTGGCAATACCCATGCAAGATCAAAGTAGAAAAATCTCACTCGGAAGATCCCTTAGTTATGGTAGAAGATGTATTAACTCAATAGTCTTGGAAGCTTTCTTCATGGACACCCTCTTGATAAAGTTTCCATCTTGACTAACACCCCCTCCAAGCAGCTTCATCCCCAACATCATTCTCTTAATGTCCAACATAAATAAATCATCATGAAGTTTACTACCAAGGCTAAAAGACCTTAGTCTTACGAATATTTAATTTGTGACCTAATCTTGGACCTATCTTCGAAATGATGACGAGGGCTTTAGCCACTTCATGTGAATCCCCTATAATTGTCTCGTCATTAAGATACCAAGTATGAAGGAGAATCTTGCAATTTACTCTAACCTGATGAATGAGTGGGTGTAACATAAGATCCAAAAGGAGTGGCCCTAACGAGTCACCCTGTTTCACTCCAATGGCTGACATAATATGTCCATCCCTAAGGTACAAACTTGTTACCTAACCATAAAGAAACTCAACCTAGAAAGAATTATATGGGAATTTAACCCTCACGTCTCACAATAGGGTTGATCGATCTATCGTGGTTAAAGCATTTGATAAATCTACTCTAAGCATATACAAAGAACCATCTTTGTGTCGCTTGCTTAAAACCATGTTAGAAATATGAAAAATGGCCTCTGCACCACCCGATACCCCAACCCCAAACTGGAAATCATTGATATAATATGCAACATATTTACTAACCTTTTTCATAGCAACCTTGGATACCAACTGCCTCCAAATAGAACCTGCGGTTATTGGTTGTATCCCACCATCAAGCTTTAATAACAGCGTCAAGGGTGCAGAGGCAACATATTCTACCAAACTCATGAGACATCTTCCTCCTAGCCATAAGTTAACAACTAAAGTGATTGCATATAAAAGATTTCTTGCCACAACAAATTCTTCTCCACATAGATCTTTTGCCATATGTAATTGGCGCGAGCAACGTGTTTTAAAGAATTCACGCTAAACTAATTGGTATGTCCTCTTATCTTTAATAGGTCGCACCAATTGGTTGTAAATATCCTATATTTTATGTTTTTCAATTATTTTTATTATTTAATTATTAATATTTTGGTTTTTAATAATTAATTAATATAATATAATGAAGAAATTATCAATTAACGAAAATACAAAAAATAAAAATACTAATATTACTTAATTAAAGTTGGATTACACACATGAGATTACTTTTTACATTATTGATTACGACACGGTTGATTGAAGTAGTCACTGATTCCTCAAGAAAGATCTTCTATCTGTTATATAGGTCTCATTTGATTTTTCTCATGTGCTTGATACGAAGTCCCGGATTTGGATAACCTATAAGTAATTCTCATAATTCGTGAAAGCTACGTGCATCAATGTCAGTGATGTTCTAACAGAGTTCAATACCCATGTTTTTGTAGTACAATTGTGTTGTTTGGGTCGATGTGTTCATGGTTGGGTGGTAGCCATGCCGGTTGAGTGGTGACACTGGTTAGAATGTTTCGTTAGGGTAAAAAGGAATTTTTTGTTGTGATGTATGGTAGTTTATGTTTGTCTGAGTTGTTTGTTGAGTGTTTTGGTATACATATAATGGGTTAGTGGTTGGTGTTTGTTGGTGTTGAGATTGATAAAAATCTTGTGGTTTTTGTTGGTAGTATGGGGTATGCTCTTGATTTTTTATTGTGTGTATGACATGTATTGGATATGGGCTTCAGTGTTTGTGGGTTTGTAATTTTGTTGGGTTGAGAGTTTAGTGTAACTGTGTTGTTATTTTCATTGGGTATTTAATGATGATGTTGTTGATGTGGGTAGACTAAATATATGGGTTCGGAAAGAAACCCAATTATAGCCGCCTATACCAATGCATGTAATGAGGAGTTGGTTTAGATTTGGTTGACATTACAAAGTTATTTAGAATACGTTTATGGTGGTGCCTCCATTGATGATAATCTGCTTTTGCGTACTCTTTCCAATTAGGGTAGATCCATTGGTTCGAGACTTTATTGTAGTGGTGTTTTTTAAGCACCTCAGAAGACCTGATATTTCTTGATGCATGTCGAACTGAAGTTTCATACGATCACTATTGTGCATATCTGCATTAGTGAACATATAATCCGTATTTTTCTAGTCAAAATTCTGGCATCGTCTTCATTCCTTTAATGATATTTTTCTAGACCTAGATATGACCTCCAAACAAATTGTTGCGGAAAATGTATTTGTTAGTTTAGTAAAAGTTAATATTAAAAATAAATTATTATGAAATAAATAGTTTAATAGTGATGCATCGCTTGGTCCTAGGGGATCTAAGAGATATCAATAAACCATGATGCAGTGTCACAAACATCTTTCGTAATTCATTCCATGGATGGACCACCTAAACCAAAAAATTTAAAATAAATAATTTATATTTAATAGTATAAATTAAGTGAGCTAAAATATTTATTAGGCTAGAAACACACTTTGTTGTGTAAAGGAATCTAAAGTTGCAAAATTAACATGCGTATGAGACATCATTCTCGACCAACCCCATGTTTGAAGTAATATGACGCATCCAACAAAAGTAGATGAACCTACCTTTGTAGTTTTACATAAAGATCTACAACGACACACTAAACAAACAAAACTCCAACTATATGATCCTATTTTATCGATATTTCTTAACAAATGTAAATACATAATATGTATACTACAACTCAAAGTATCTGGAAATAAAAATAAACCTATTAGTAACATGATATAAATTCTAGTTTAAATTATTTTTTGTTGCTCAATAGACATTTCGATTAACATCATTCAGACACTACCGCGAGGAAATAAGATTGTAAAATGTGCAAGCATTAAGGTGGGTGGATAATATTCCAATAGAGAATTGGACAAAGACATTTGATGAGGCTCGATGATCGCGTCACATGATAACAAATCTTATGGAATCAATGAACTATGTATCTAAAGACACAAGAAACCTACTCATAATTGTGTTGGTGAGAGAAACCTATTATAGGTTGGGAGCATTGTTCTCTAACAAAGGTTCAAAATGGAGTTCACTATTAGAATCAAGGAAATTGTTCAGTGATAACTACATGAAAGTTATGAAGGAGGAAACTAGAAAATCTAACACACATTGGTCACAAGATTTGATCGTCAAAATTTCAGTTTTAGTGTCCAGGAGACAATAGACCACAATGATGGATGGCCAATGGGACATTACCGGGTCGAACTACATAAAAGTTAGTGGGGTTGCAGAAAAATTCAAGGATTACATATGTCTTGCTCCCAAGTCATTGTGGCATGTTCCAGTGTTTTTCAGGAAGAACTCTTGCATTTATCTGGTGTTTACAAGGTTTTAACTTATTCGATGTCTACAACAATAGATTCTCAATGGTAGCTAGTGAAGAATATTGACCTACATATTAATGGATGTAATTTACCACAACGAAAATATAAGAAGGAAGAAAAAATGTTGTCCAAATAACATATATATTAGAATCGAAATGAACACGTTTGACAAAATGAAAAGAAAATATAATATACATCGTTTTACCGGTCACACACAAAAATCTTCAAAGAAGACTTGGTCTTCGTAAATACACTAAAAGAGATCTCCAAGAAAAACTTGATCTTCATGTATATATAACATGTTCAACAATACTCATCTTAGAACAAAAACATTTAGAAAAGAAATGAAAAGAAGTGTAAAATGATTCACAGAACACATCTATTTATATAAATTTTCGTCTTAATTGCATCAATCCAATTGACGCATTCATATAAAGGAATGAAGGAATGAACATACACCAATTGAATTGCGTGTCCTATAAATTTCAGATGCACGGGCCAATTGGATTCACTAGTTCTATGTGGAATTATTTTTCTTTTCTTGAAACAACGCCATTTTGAAATATATGTGAAAAAGTAAATTATATTGAATAGTAATAATTTAAGAAAGTTGGTTATTGGATAAAAAAAAAATTGACATTTTAAATAATTTTATATTATCAAACAATCACAATAATGTTAAATATTAAATTATTCTATTATTTTTAAATGAATTATATAACATAGTTAAATGATAAATTTTTATTAGATAATAGTATAAAATTATTTTATATTATCATTACACTATCTTTTAATTCATTAATTGTTCTCTTTTTTCAATAAATATTAATTATTTTATATTTGTCTTGACTTTTAAAAAAGTTTTACATAGTGTATTAAACCTTGCACTACATTTAAAACGTTTTTCATGAATCTAACTTGAGTGATATGAATCACCCACTTATTTGATTTAATGGTAAGCAATTATAAATTAGTTAGCAGACAGATAATACTCGAAAGTACAAAGGACGGTTAAGCAAGGGGTACAATATGTATCATATCAACACACTACCGTTGAAAAAAGATAAGAGTAGGGACAAGAAATAAAGAACAACACAAATCTAAATTATCCTAGAAAAGGAGGGAAGAAAACAATGAAAATACACCAGATACTTATGACTTTTGACTATAGATATAAATCTTACTGAGAACTTATAGTTTTTTTTTTTTTGGCTACAGCTCTCTTCCACCACTTTACAATTTAGTGACACCAAATTTGTGTGGATATAGATTTTGATAGTGAATTTTTTTCGTTGACAATTTTTCAATGTCAAATTTGTCTTATACTATTCAAATTACAATCTAAGCAACTGATTAAATATATTTGAGTAGAGGTCGACTACCTCAATCACACAATATGGAGAATTGGAGGATGGATGAAAGGTCAAGTAAGACCCTAAGGACAAGGTATCATCAGAAGAGGATAGTAGACCAACCTAATATCAATTATAGTGTTAATCGTAAGGAAGCAACAATGTATAAAAATTCAAGAGTCCCGCCTCAATTATAGATCTATCAACATAAAAAGGAAGTGCTCACAAACTACATGAAAATTGTGTTAAATATGCTTGGACCTTAATTCTAAAAGTTAGTTTAAAGGGCGAGGTTGTCATCACATACTTATACATTCAACAATCCAGGAATCTAACCAATGTAGGACATCAAACAAACTCGAACAACACAAATACCAACTTCAACACCCATCCTCACGACTAGCGTGAGTTTGGGTCAAATACCCACATTGCGGTCCTTAACTCGACTCTGATACCATGTTAAATATGCTTGGATCTTAACCCTGAAAGCTAGCTCAAAAGATGAGGTTGCCCTCACATACTTATACATCCAACAGTCCGGGAACCTAATCAATGTGGGACTTCAAACAAACTCCAACAACACACATACCAACTTCAACAAATTATCCATTTTTGTTGCTTTCTTATTCCTCTTTCTCTTTCTTCGAAATTCCCATCATAGTCATTACAAATTTTACCAACGAGATTAGATCTAATTTATAAGACGATTATTAATCTTGTTCTAGACCGGTTAAAGGTCTAAATGACCAAGGACCAATCTATCTCAAAATCCACTCCAATTGACTCAACGTATAAAATATTTCACATGCTAAGAAAAAGACAAAATCTCTGATCTTCAATCTCACTATACTCATTTGAATCTTGAACTGACTTAGGCATTGGAGTGTTGATCATGCAGGTCCATCCTGCGCCACTGTAAAGGATATTGTAGTCGTCATTCAAGACCATCAATTATACAACTACCTTCATTTATGGTTTCTAAGCAGAGTTAGAACATCCGTTTTTGGTTCCTGATTGGAATAATAGCTTCTTCTATGGGAAACGACTTCTGATTCCTACAATTTCCACGAAAATCATATTCATTTCACCACACCATTAAACTAACAAAAGTTCTAGATATGGAATCTTGTGATTCAGATTCGAGCCTTCGAGTGACCAGTTCACAACCTCTTCTTAGGTCATTGTATCAAGAACAAATTGGCTTTCGATTTCCATGCTTTTCGTGAATCCACAACCGCCTTTCAGCTTCAT